ACCAATTCCCCCTAGGAGGACAGAGATTTGACCTGAGCTGCCTTCTCTGAGGCCCATTTCCTCAAGGGTTAGGCCACATCTAACCTGCTGTGGAAGGTTGGGCTGGTGCTCTTTAGGCAGGGCCTAATCTTCTTGAGTGTGTGTGTAGAACCAGAACAGGGGAGGTCAGCAACTTAACCTCCACACGCTCAGCAACAAGGACTCACAGGTATCACAGGGCAAGGTTATGTGAGGGAAAGGCACCCTACCTTAGCTGTCATTGAGACGGTGGCCTGAGAGCCTGTATTGCTGCTGCGTCTGGTTCACCAGCTTCTTTGCCTTTTCATCTTCATCCTCCTCTGAAGATGGCCCAGCAGAAAATCAGCTGAACTACTTTTTTTTTTTTTTAAGGTTTTATTTATTTATTTATTTATTTTTAGAGGGGAAAGGAGGGAGAAAGAGAGGGAAAGAAACATCGATGTGTGGTTGCCTCTTGCATGCCCCCTACTGGGGACATGGCCTGCAACCCAGGCATGTGCCCTGACTGGGAATCGAACTGGCGACCCTTTGGTTCACAGGTCAGTAGTCAATCCACTGAGGCACACCAGCCAGGGCTGAGCTTCTTTTTACAAGTGTGACAGGATAGTTTATGAAAACTTGGTTATTCTTCCCATTCCTGAGAACTTATCCAGTATAAATAATCTTGTAAAAGTTATTTATAAAAAGCTGTGGCTACCTTCTGACATCTCACCATTTAACCCCAGTCAAAGATGATGATGATGCTGATGATTGTCATCAGGAAAACTAAACCTTTTATGTCACAAAGCAAGGAAATGGCTATCTTTGTAATGTTTTTCCTTTCCCTATATGTCTTGGGATCTTATTCTTAGGATGTTTGTTTAGAACTTGTCAAGCTAGGTCACTTTAAATCAAGTGTCCATAAAACCCTCTTTCTGGAACCCATAAAACTCTTCACTGTAATATGTACATTCCCCGTCTCACAGATGGCAAGGTTGCAGCATGTAACCTACTGACTTTATTGTCCCAACTCTTTCTGTGAGCTGTTAATCCATGTAATACTACATGGACAACATGGAAAGGCTTTGGGGTCTTAATAAGCAACCCAGATATTTTTTCAGTCAGCACTTCTCAAATTTGCCCCCCAAATTTTTTCAGAAGGCAGAAGAGAGAGAACACACAGTACTGGTAGAGGTAGGGTCGGTTATGGGGGCAAATACAGAGTGATTATTTATTTTATGAACTAGTGGTATTTGGGAATTCTTTATTCTATAGAATTATGTGTCCTAAAAATACAGGGTCTGGCAGAAGTAACTGCCTGCTTGAGTATGGTTGGTAGGGTAATAATATAGCTGTAATAACATAGTTTTAATCTGAATATTTCACCTAAAATGTCAGAAATGGCATTATTTGTGCCAGACCTTGTAGTATTGGGTTGGCCAAAAAGTCTGTATGATTTTTTTTCCATAAAGTGGAACACATTATTTATTTTCATCAGTAACTTAACTGATTTGGATATTTTGAGTATGTTTGCTCTTTCCTGCATGATATAATGTTGACTGTTCTCAGTTAATGTCTCAGTTTGATCGCTGTCAACTTCAACTGGTCTACCCAACCATGGAGCATTGTCCAGCGAGAAATCTTCAGCACAAAACTTCACAAATCACTTTTGACATGTTTGATTAGTCACAGCACCTTCTCCATCTGCTGCACAAAACTTTTTTTGTGTGTGTTTTTACCTTTCTTGAAATAATAAAGCATAATATGCTAAAATGTCACTTTTTTCTTCCATCTTTATATTGAAATAGCTACACAAAAAATTGCCAATTTTTATGTTTTCATTTTTTTTTATTATATTCTATTGATTATGCTATTACAGTTTTCCTGATTTTTTTCCCCTTTGCCCTCTTCCACCAATCACCACCCACTCTCTCTGGCAGTGCCCCCACCATTGTTCATGTCCATGGGTCATGAGTGTAAGTTCTTTGGCTGCTCCATTTCCTTTATTGTATTTTACATCCCCATGGCCATTCTGTAACTACCTATTTGTACTTCTTAATCCCCTCACCTCTTCACCCACTCCCTCTCAGCCCCTTCCTATCTGGCAACCATCAAAAAGCTCTCTGTATCCATGATTCTCTTGGTTCTGTTTCTGTTGTTGATCGCTTAGTTTGTTTTTTAGATTTAATTGTTGATACATACTTATTTTTGCCATTTTACTGATCATAATTTTGATCTTTTTCTTAAATAAGTCTCTTTAACATTTTTCTTGTCTGGTGAAAACTCCTTTAATTTTTTCTTGTCTGGGAAGTACTTTATCTGCCCTTTGATTCTAAATGATAGCTTTGCTAGTAGAGCAATCTTGGCTGTAGGTCTCCGTTGTTCATGACTTTAAGTATTTCTTGCCAGTCCCTTCTGGCCTGTGAAGTTACTTTTAAGAAATCAGCTGATAGTCTTATGGGAACTCCCCTGTAGGTAACTAACTTCCTTTCTCTCAAAATTTTTTTTTAGATTTTATTTATTTATCTTTGGACAGAGGGGAAGAGATAGAGAAGAGGGAGGCAGAGAAACACCAATGTGCAAACGAAACATCGATTGGTTGCCTCTTACATACCTCCAGCTGGGGACCTGGCCCACAACCTAGGAATGTGCTCTGACTGGGAACCAAACCAACCAGTGACCTTTCTGTTCACAGGCGAGCACTCAATCCACTGACCCACACCAGCCAAGGCTCTTGCTGCTTTTAAGATTCTCTCTTTATCTTTAACCTTTGACATTGTAAATTATGACATGTCTTAAGAGTGGGCCTCTTTGCATCCATCTTGTTTGGGACTCTCTGTGCTTCCTAGACTTGCAGACTTGCATGTCTGCTTCCTTCCCCAAACTAGGGAAGTTTCCTTTCACTGTTTTTTCAAGTAGAATTCAAAGTTTTCCCAGAAGCTGTTTATACTGTTCTCATTTTGGGGGATTCTTTTTTCTTCTTCTTGTTCTGATTGGTTGTTGTTTACTTCCTTATGTTCCAAATCATTGATTTGGCTCTCAGCTTTATTTACTCTTCTGTTGTTTCTCTGTAAATTGTTCTTTATTTCAATTAGTGTGTCCTTCGTTTCTGACTCAATTTTTTTTATGCTGTTGAGGCTGCTGCTAAGTTCCTTGAGCAATGTTTTATCCTTATAACCAGTGTTTTGAACTCTGCCTCTGATAGATTGCTTATCTCTACTTTGTTTAGATCTTTTTCTGCAGTTTTGATCTGTTCTTTCATTTGGGCCATGTTTCTTTGCCTTCTTGTTTTGGCAGCTTCCCTGTCTTTGTTTCTGTGTATTAGGTAGAGTTGCTTTGACTCTGTGTCTTGGTAGTGTGGCCTAATAAAGTAGATGTCCTATAAGGTCCATTGGTACAGCCTCCCCTATCACCCAAACTGGGTTTTCAAAGTGCGTCCTTTGTGTGGGCCGAGTTCATCCTCCTTGTAGTGGAGCCTTGATTGCTGTTGGCAGATCAATGCAAAGGATTTGCCCAGACCGATCAGCTGCATGGACTGGCTGTGACCACTGACCACCCACTCCCACCTTCTGTGGAGGATCAGCTGTGCAGCTGCAGGGTGGTGGTGCTTCAACATGGTCTGTAGCTGTCCACTTGGTGGACTAATCCTGAGATTTCCCGGGTGCTGCAGGCCAAGGTTAGTCACCACTTTTGCTTTGCCTGGGGCACCCTGCCTGAGCTATAAATCAATCTGAGATGGCTGCTACTTGTGCTGGGCTTGGAGATCCCACCCAAAGCCAAACTATGAATCTAGGCTGTCTGCTGCTAATGCCAGGCCTGGGGCTCACTGAAGACAGCTGTTGCTTGTTTGATAGGATTTAGGAAGCGTTTGAGCCAGGACCAACCATTCATATGGAAAAGCAGCTTGGGTGGGCCTGTAAATTGGATGGGAAATAGTCTCTGGGGATCTCCAAGTCAGGTCAAACAGTGTTAGCCAGGTTGATGGAATCTCAAATACAGGGAGAAGGGTTTAGAAAAGGGACAGTGGCCTCTGCTCCTCTTGATGCTAGACACTTCAGTTCCTCCCTGTGTACCACTGGTGCCTTTCAAGCCGCTACCCTTGTGTTAGAACTCAGAGGCAGTGAGTCTGAGTAGATGAGTTCATGTGTGGGCTCTTTAAGAAGAACTCCTTGGGGCTCCAGCAGTTTCTTCCACTGACTGAATTCCCACTGGTTTTTGCAGCCAGAAGTTTTGGGGACTTATTTTCCTGGCACTGGAACCCTGGCCTAGGGGTCCTGGTGTGGGACTGGGACTGTTCACTCCCAAGATACCCCTTCCAAATTTTTATCCACCACACCTGGTTGTGGGACCAATCTGCTCCACATCTGCACTCCTCCTACCAGTCTGGGTGGGTGTGCTTTCCTTAATTCCATAGTTGTAAGACTTCCATTCAACTCAATATCTGATGGTTCTGAGTGATGGTGGTCCCATATTTTAGTTGTAATTTTGATGTCGTTGTGCAAGGAGGTGAACCTTGTCTTCCTATGCTGCCATCTTGACCAGAAGTCCTAATAAGTTTTTTTTAATGCATGTTGATATGATAGCTGTTACCATACTATCTAACAAAATTGTTTTGAGTGACATTAAAGACAACTAAGCACTACTAGAACCATCTTATGGAAAAAAATTAATGAACTTTTTGGCCAACTGAATACATTTTGGCCAACTGATAAGAAGAACGGATCATCAGATAGTTTCTTTTCATCTCATTAGTGCCAGTGAAGTTCATGAATGTCTCCCAACAGACAACAAAGTATTAAGTGACATTTTTGAATAGCACTTGCAAGAGATTTAAGAGGGTTAAAGGAAGTTACAGGTGTTCAAAGGAGAGAAGTCATTGTATGAATTATACTTCATATCTCTCAAGAAAACTTATGAACACCTAAATATAAAATGTAAAAACTTAAAAGAAATAAACCAACTCAGTGTTTTGCTAAATCACATTGTATGTGTGTGTTTTCCAGACACATGAAGATTCATGAGAAGGACCCTAACAGTGCCGCAGCTGCCGCTCCTCCATCCCCGCTGAAGCGCAGGCGGCTGTCCTCCAAAAGGAAATTCAGTCACGATGCCGAGTCAGAGAAAGAAGACCCAGCGCCTGCTAAAAAGGTCCTCTGCTCCTAGCCTGGATATGCCCAACCACGGGACTCCTGGTCAAAATACCCCTAGTCTTTATTTTTGAAGTTTGGGGTCTTGGCAGCCATCTTCCCTAAACTTTTGGCCTGTTTCCCCACTGTTTTGTAAGGTGTCCACAGGGGAAATAAAGTGCCTGTGCGTTTCTCTGTGGAGCCCCCTGGCTGAGCCCACTGATGAAATGAAGAGCTCATTCCATTGCTCCTCTACTTCTCTTTTTTCCTAGCTGGAATGGGGGCTTCATATGTGTTAGGGACTCTTTTGTCCTCACTTTTTTATTCCCAGTGTCAATCAGATGCTGGGTGCTCTGTAAATATGTGTTGAATGGATGAGAGAGGGTGGGTTGGGTGGATGGGTGGTATTTTTAGTGAGTATTTATTGCATGAATGAAGGGCTGGTCATAGTATCCTAAATACCTAGTAGGTGGTACGCCATTCCTTTTAGATAGCCTCTGGATTGAGTAGGCTTCTTTCAGAAGCAAACCCATTTGGGAAGCCTCCTTCATGACTTCACTTTTTCCTTTTCCCTAAGATGGTAGAAGGTGGGCAGTCAGGTGACTTGAAGATGAAGGCTGATGAAGTGTTTCACTGCCCAGTATGTTTCAAGGAGTTTGCTTGCAAGTATGGACTGGAGACCCACATGGAGACCCACTCAGATAACCCACTAAGGTAGGAGAAAGGGTGGGATGTACCTGCACTCTGGAAAACTCTTTCCATTCTTGTATTTTCTAGCAGATGATATTTCCATTTTTGTCATTACTACATACTGGGCTAAAATCATTTAATTGGGTATGAGGACATTAGTAAGGCCATTAAGAATGGTGTATGAAGTCAGGCTGAAAGGTGTACAGCAGGAGGTGGCTGTAGCCACAGAGTGTGTTCACTGAGGTTCACTCTGCTTCCTTCACCCCTGGTGAGCCCATGCAGCCATCACTTATTAGCCCCCCGTGCATGGGAAGTCTCCTCTCACGGGGCTTTTAGGTAACAGACATGCTGTCTTCTCAAAAGGTGTTGCAACGCAGTAATTGTTAGCTGTGCAAGAGTATGTGGCAAGGATAGGAACCGTAGGTGTTTACACTGGACTGGACTGGTGACACAGAACAGAGAATGCCTTTTAGGGTGACACCAAGTTCTACTTTGGGCAAGGCATTCAACCTAAAGGGAAGTGATTGTTCTGCTGGTCCAGCCTCAGTTTTAGCTCTTTGCTGACTCTGGTTTTTCTGATCCTCAGCCTTCCCATGCAGAAACATGGATGGTAATGCCTGTCCAGCAGAACATGGGGCTATGGGGGCATGGAAGTCAGCTTTTATCCCTACCTTCTCTGAGAACTTTTACATCAGGCAGAAAGCCCTGTGTTCTTAGTGAGCAGGTAGGCTTGGAAGCTTTTCCTGTAAAACTACCATTTTAAAATGCCGTGCCACAATTTTTGAACATTGAAAAGAACAAGGCACCATCGGGAGCCACTGGTGCAGTGTGAGGCTGCAAAATGGCACGTCCACCAGGGTCACCCAGGGCAAAGGCGAGCACATACGTGGCTGCAGTGTTGGGTTGCAGAAGACAGTTTGGGAGTGTAGAACTCTGGGCATCTGCCTGTGTGTGCGACTCACTGATAGATATGTGGACCAGATTTCCTTCCTGAAGGCACATGTTTGGTTTTGACTAAAGAGTGAGAAGGTCTGAGCAAGCTGAAGACTTCTGTGTTGAGGGAAAAGCCTAATTAATTGTACAATAACTTAAAGCCGTGTCAGATATCATCATCTTTAGTCACATTAGCTTGACATTCTTCCATTGGGGGAAAAAGGATTTATGACAAGTTTAAACTGCTGAGCAGTTGAAGTGCTATAAAATGTCTTTACATAACTCCCCCATCTTGGGAAATTGCATAATGCGTGGGAGTGGGCATGGGCCGGTTGTCAGGACCCTGGGTCCCAGTGCTGTCTCTGTTCATGTGGGACCTTGACCAGCTGCATCTGAACCTTGAAGGAGAGCTGAACCTGATAATCCCGGTGTTCCCTCTCAGGCCTTAAATTCTGTGATCCTGAAACCTGTCTCTTAACAAACAGTTCTTAGTTTACCAAGAAAAAGCATCTGGCGCTTTCTCTTATAGGCCCTGTAGTTCTGAGAGATTCAGGAACTTAACTTCATGGCTTCATTAACATCCACAGCATCCCTGGATGTGGGCTTGTGGGTGATGAATATTGAGATAGTTCTCTAGACAGAGGACCTGAGCAAACAGATGAGCCTCACATGTCAAGTTGTGGGCAGAGGCAGGAATAGCCCGTGGGACCCTCAACTCCCGTCACTGTAAGGTAGACACACTGCTAGTCTCTAAGTTCCTTCATGTAACTTTATTTCACTTCATGCTTTAATCTATGTTCACTTGTCATTAGGAACCATACACTTGGGCAAGTGTAGATAATTCTACCTTCTAGATAATTCTGCCTCACAGGGAAAATAATTTGACTCTCCATAGAAGTTTCTGGGTGGCCGGAGCCTGCATAACACAGTATATAGCACTGAGAGACAAAGGCCAGGTGTCCCCTTCTTAAAGACCAGCCTGCATGAGGGCACGGGTTCTCCTGGAATGGAGCCTTCTAGACAAACTGCTTCCCCAGCGACAGGCTGTGCTTGCTACTCAGAGAGGATGGAGAAGGGAATCGCACTGGACACTGGCTGTTCCATTCTGTACAGTTTGGTGGGTAATTCATTCACCATGTCTCCAGGGCCTCCAATGTGCTGCACTGTTGAAACTCAAGTTCTGCCTGATTTCCTTGCCTTCTCAGTAGTAATGCTCTTTGTTTGGTGATGGGTTGACTAAAGAAGTTTTGTAGCCTGGCAGGGAGTCAGCTCCTCCTGGCAGGCCTCCCTCCTGTGGAACTTTTGGGTGCTGCACCCACAGTGCCCAGCAGTGGCCATAAGAAGGGGCTGCCTAGTTTCCATTGTGGGGGACAATGAGGCCATCCCGTGTCTAGTGGCTGTTGCTAGGTGGGGTGAGTCTTATGTCTGGAAACCAAAAGGAGCTGATTACAGAACATAGTTAATTTCCCTTTTCTCCTGACTGCTCTGGCTTTCCACATAATAGCCTGCTATCAGAGGAGGCCATGGAGCAGGCAGGAGCCAGTGGGACCCAGCCGGGCAGTGAACTGTGGCAGTAGCTGGTGGGAGAAACTGCTTGTTAACCCAGAGCTAAAATAGGCACCAACTCCATTTGCAAACCCCAAAGGCAGCAGAACCACAGTGGGATAGATACTACCAGTTTAAGCAGAAAGTTTGTAACTCAAAACAGCTGTTGGCTTCTCTTCTCTCCTGCCACTAACCCCCACCCCCAAAAGCTGGCAAGATGCCCGTTGTTCCTTAATAAAAAGTGTTGGAAATCCAAACACGTGTAAACGCTGAGGCTGTTGTCCTCCATTCTCCTGTGTTTCAAATTAATGAAGTGTCAGCAAAGAACAACAGGAAGACACAAAGCCGCTTGTAGCAATTCTAGCTCTTGTCAGTTATTGCCTGGGCCCTGGCGTGACCAGCAGTAAATCCACCCCTCTGTACAGCTCCCCAGACAGGGAGAAGCACAGGGCTTATTGAGACCTGGCGTGTGGAATCAGAGGTGATGGACAAGAGTGTTCAGCAAGCAGGTGGATGCAAAAAGGACATCCCTGTGTATGGATGTTTCAGGGTGTTGAATGTCTTGCTTGGTTATAAGAATAGAACAGAGTAGCAGGTCATACACTGCCATGAACAAAGTTAGCTGGGTGGGAATGCAGGTCAGTGCCAACCCACACAGGATGAGAGCCTCATATGTCATTGTAGATTTTCTAGTAGCCATATTTTAAAAAAAAAATTTTATTGATTAGAGAGAGAAGGAGAAAGGGAGAGAGAGAAACTTCAATTTGTTGCTTCACCTGCTTTTGCACTCATTGGTTGATTCTTGTGTGCGCCCTGGCTGGGGATCACATCTGCAACCTTGACATGTGGGGGTGATGCTCTAACCAACTGAGCTACCCGGCAAGGGCTAATCTAGGAGCCACATTAAAAAAAATTAAAAGGAACAGATGAAATTGACCATGTTTTGTTGATTATGCCAATATATCCAAAATGTAATGTCAACATAGGTTCAATATAAAAATTGTCAGTAATATGTTTTACATTCTTATTTATGTGCTAAGTCTTGACAGTCCAGGGTATGTGGTGTGAACACAGCCCTTCTCACTTTGAACAGGCATGTTGCAAGTGCTCAGCAGCCCATCTCGCAGGTGCAGGACAAGCCCACCCAAGGCACAGAAGGCTCCAAGGCAGCAAGCAGCTTTGCTTTGGAAGCTTTTGGTCTTGTGTCTGAGTGACTTATCTCAGGCTGACTGAGGCTGGGCCTGGACAGGTGTAGCTGGATGGTCACCATGGCAGTGTGACTGCAGATGGAGGCAAAACTTAGCAGTAGTTATTGTTTAATCTCACATGGCTTCTTGATTGAAGGAGATGAGATAGTAAATAATTTTTAAGTCATTTTAGCAAATGATGTAATGTTTATTATGTGTCAGGCAATTGACTAGACTTGAGAAAATAATAGTGATGTTTGAGACAGGGCCCTTAAGAACCAGTGAGAAAACAAGTAAACAGGCAGTAAAACAAAGCAAGGGGGTGAAGTCAGGGTCCAGGGGACACAGTGCCCATTGTTCAAGCAGAGGGAGCCCCCTCCTGTTGGTCTAAAGCTTCCCTCGGCATTTTGCGTCAGGTGCTCTCCCTGAGTTTCCGCCAGCGGAGGCCCTCCTCCATCTGATTGAATTATGGGTCTTAGTTGTCTGTGAGGTCACTTCACATTTGAATGCAATGCCTGTAAATCTGCCAGAAGTTAGTACACAGGGATCCCAGGTGGGCTCTGACAGGGGGGATTCTCAGGTGTTCCAGAGTGTTCAATTCCCTTTTGCTGCACTGCACACACACACACTGTGACCTGCAGGAAGACCCTCGGACTAATTCACATGGCATTGGTCCCACACCTTTTAAATACCATTCTAAAAATAGGGAAAGGGGATCACAGAATACTTGTCAGCATCTTGTATTTGAGTCTCAGTGGTCTGAGGCTTGGCCAGGTGGAAGCAGATTTAAAGCAGTGCCAGTGGCTGAGGGTGGGGAGGACACTTCCCTTCTCCCCCTCCTTCCCAGTGGGTCTGGTAGCTGGGCACACCTTTGTCAGGACTACCCCCTCTCCACCCTGCCCAAGGATCCTCTCTGTCACCTGGGTTGTGCCAGGCAGGGACAGCCACCAGCTTCTGGGCTCACCCCAGCCCTAGAGCTGCCTGGGCATCATGCCACACTGGTTTGATTGAACAGTTCGTGCAGCGTGTCAGGACATGGCGTGCAGCTTGGCGGATTCCTGGGCATGGGGAGGGCGGGCTGCCACCCACCACTGGTCAGGGCCCTGTCACAGGGCCCGCACTCTTGCTCTCAGCAACTGAGAGATTAGTGCAGCTGTCGGATGTCAGTTCTCAGCTGGGACAGGACTGGAGGGGAGGATGGGGTAGAGGGCAGAGGAATGTCTGAGCTGGGCAGGGCTCTGGGGAGAGGTTGTTTGCACTTAGCCCTTCTTGCCTCCAGAAGTACAGCAGGAAAAATGAAGCATGAAATCCCTTTTTAAAAAGGAATGTCAGTCTCTCCATTAAAACACTGTAATGAGC